AATTGATATTATTATGGGCCAGAGGGGCCCTCCCATTACGTTATAAATGTTACACAGGTCGATTACCGCTCTTTGTTCCGGACATGCTTACATTGTCCGCGAACAATGCTGAGCCCTCTTCCTCCGCCACCTCCTGTTCCCTGGACCCGGCGCATCGTACGCGAAGGAAGCGGAGAGAGCGGGGGAGAGTTAACCCCACGATTTAACCTAAGAGATATCGAGATATCGGTAACGCGTTTTTTTCTCAGCGCGATAGTAGTGGCGTCCCCCTCTGATCATCCCGATGAGAATTTGATATTTATTGAGTTCATTTGTACTTGCCAGTAAAAGTCAGCTTAGGCTACCCTCGTTGGGCAGAGAATATGAATATAAAAATGTTAAACAATTAAATAAAAGAATTATGCAATTATAAATACACATATAAAAATCTTTTTGTAAACACTTATAAATAAAAAAACTAATAGGTGATCTCAGACTGAACGAGTATTTAAATTACTAATTGTAAATAAAATATGAATGAAGCTGTGCTCTGTGAATGCCAACATGAATTTTTCAAGATGCGCTGTACATGATGTACGCGGTTGTAATCGCGTTATGCTTCGAATGCGTTGGTCACGATCGACTCAACCTGCACTTTCAATCACGATGTTATATGCGACGTAGCGTAAACAGCTCGTATTTAGAATCAGCTATACAAGTTGCTCTATATGAATAGTATTTTAAAAGTTAACATCATAAATTGCAATGAAGATATAAATTAGCAATGAAAAAGCTTTGCACTCGACGTATTTTTCACTAGAATTTGATGAATTTTTCTTAATTGGCATGAAATGAAATATACACAAATTAACATTATAAAACTATTACATTTTTATACTTTGAAGTTCGCTCAGACATAAACAGTCATTGTCGCTTCTCACTCACTCGCCACTCGAGTTGTTGATGCATCAAACCAAGTGGTAACTGAGAGTCGCCATTCGAATGCAAATTAATTATCTTGGAAAATTTAAGTCATCGATAATGTTTATATTAAATTATTAAAATTATAATATTACAGAATTTCATAAATTATCAATAAAATAAAGTATAAATTCGGACTCTCGAGATAATAGTAATAAAAATAGTTAAATATCGGGCAATTGAAAGCACTTAACAACGCGGTAATTTGTGCCTAATAATAAAGCTATGTATTTCAAGATCTTACATGATAATTACAACATAATCGAACGTTTCGGCTCCATTCGAGCCATCTTCAGCGATGTTAGAATAAATTATTTTGTAGTCAAGTATAAAAAGTTGTGTAAGGTGATCAGTCAAAGGGTGCAGCGAGAAGAGTCTGAACAAATTTCATAAATTACATAAATGATATAACGTTACAATGTTTGTTTATCATGTCATTTCATCAATGGTGTTCCGAAAATATTTTCCACGCAGCCACGCGTGTGGGGAACAATTGCAGGTGCGATTCGGGCCATAGCCAAACAAGCAGATGCTCGCAAAAGGAGCATACGAATCGCAACAATGCCGTGGCAAGGCCGAAAACACGCTGCAAAGGGCCCGAACCCCTTCGATTTTTAATTTGATCCCTCTTCGGGCAGCGCGTTTTGTTTAATGGCGAAGGCGGTAACCGCGCACGGACCCGCCAACCAATGGCAGACCGGCTGGAAATCATACACGGGATCGCCGGCCGCGCAACGGCCTCCGAGAGTGGAGGTGAGGTACGGTTAGACGAGGTTTATGCTCGCTCCCCGCGTCTCCTTAACATTCGACGGGCCTGTCCCGGCACGGCATTACTCTCGCAAGAGGTGGGGCTCCCTCTCTTCGATCGGCGTTAGGCTATTTCTTCTCCTTCTTCTACCATCTTCTTTTCCTCTTCCTCCTGCTCCTCCTCTTTCTTCTTTGCATTTTCTTTCTCTTCTTTCTTTCGCAGCCGCATGTCTTTTGGTGTCTTCGTTATTCTTGCACTCGCCGAAAATCGTATTTGAAATGTACTTTGATACGGGATAAAAAATATACTTATAAAGCGAGAATTATATATGTTTAGTAAAAAGATTGGGCAATGAAGCTAAAAAGGAATAAAAAAAAGAGTATCTAATATATCACAGAGAAAGAAAAAGTTTTTAATGGACAATAGTGACATCATTAAAATATATAAAATCTCATCCCTGTCAAAAATTGAAAATTTTGGGGTTGTAAGTTCCTGTAAGACGTAACCTTATGTAAGATATTGTATTAAAGAAATACAGATGTTCGCGATATCGTTTCTATACGGATCATTCCAGCAATATTGCTGCAAGCTTCTCTGCTGTATATTCGCTGCCATTATTAATTACGAATTCTTAATCGCAGACAATAGATGGGTATTGAGTTTTCCGACCCTCGAGGGAATCTTCTCCGTATACCCCGCAATTTTCTCGCGAGAAATTACAAAACTCTTTTGTTTGATATTATCGGTAGAAAAGGAATGAGAGTCTAAAACAATAATTAAAATGCTGCTACAACATCGACGTTTGATAAACCGATCGTTAGGTATACCGCCGCTCGGAGCATGAAATGTAAATGACCAATTAGGAGAAGCCAACAAAGCTTCCTTGCTTCCGTTAATCCGTTCAGTTAGTAATTTGCAACGCGACTATAGGATAACCGCGGCAGACATGTGCGATGAAAAAGGGGTTTCTCTGCGAGGGTGGCATATGATCACCCTTTAGACGCGGAATCGAGTAGAGCGGCTTTGCACACCGACACCCCGGTAAATCACACACTTAGGTCAGAAGTACTCTCTAAATCTGAATCAGTGTCATAGTCACTAATTACCCAGTGGCATACTTAACACTGATAATCAGTGAAGTTCAACTAAAAAAGAAAGAATGTTTGAGCATTATATAACTAAAATACTGATATTTGTACGTTAATTTCAATCTTCCAATACCATATTCATTGAATTTAAGCACTAAAACAAGGTTAGTTAGATCACATAATAAAGATTAGCTAGGTTAGGGATCTCACATTTAATTCACTGATTACCAGTGGCATACTTGGCACTGATATCAGTGATTATCCACTGATTCAGATTTAGAGAGTAATTTCTAATGTAGCGAGTTGCCGCACTTACAATCATTATACTTACATTAGTGCAGATTCTTGATGCATTTTAAATTCAAGTACACTCGGCACTAAACGATCTTTCGCTAAAACGTTCAACAATAATCACTGTACACTAGTTTCTGCCTAGTATTGCACGTGAGTTTTGTCGCACGATTCAACGATTTAGGTCATCGATACGAATCCTTCGCTGTGCAAATTTTTAATAATGCGCATTGTGATCGGAAAAACGTAGTGAAATCTATTTGGATAATCAAAGAGAATCGTATACGTGTCACAGCTTGTTGATTTTGAACGCGACATCGGCAATTTTTTTATTAAAAAGTCTACGAAATTAGATATTGCTTGTATAATATAAGCAGAAAAATCAGCACCAGATTTTTGTTGTAGATAGCACGATTCGTAACAATCACGTGACAATGCGTTGCTTGCGTGCTTCATGCCCGCGGTTCGATCAGGTCGCAATTTTCGCCTGGTCTATCATCGGCGAGTTTAATCGTAAATTGTACACGAGGATAAAATGGTGTCTTTATCAGCTCTTCGCCGTCATTTTGAATTGGCGATTTATCGCTTCCGCGTAATTGTGAAATCGTCCCGAGTATTGTAACGAACGACATTATCGAACACCGCAGAGAGAGTCTTGCAATTCTTTCCTTTCCCCAAAGAAAAGTTCAATTGTAAATTAAATGTAAAAACTACTGTCATCATTCACTATCGGGACATACAATTATCGTAAATTAAGGATCGATCCACGTAATTACTAAATTAAGGGACATTAACCCATTGCGCGTTTATTCATTAACGCGGATCCGGCTAATAAATTCTACAGACAATTTGTTTAATTATTAAAGTGCAACCTTCGCGTGTCGTACCGTCGCTAAAATATTCTAACCGCGATTCCGATCAGGGGGAACACAACAGCGCGTTTATCAGCGGCCATTATAAATCTAAAAAAAAGCGATGCTATACATTGTAAGGACACGCACGTGGTCAGGTCGATCCTCGCTGGTTTCACTTACTTCTCCGTGGAATCTTGTTTCTTTTTTTTTTTTGGGAAGCTAACACACGTGCATGCAAGGTTTCTTGGTAAATGCTAAAACGTCGTGCGAGCGGGCGCTGAAAATTAGCATCGCCGCCATTGATGCGCCTGCTGCCCCTTTGTCGATTCTTGCATGTATTGATCGATGCCACCGTAATTTTCGTATCGCGTGCCATATCACCTGCCACCTTTCCTTTCCAGTGCAAACCATATCGGTTCGGACGTTTTTCCCTCAAAGTCGCATTTTCTTTTTGCCGCGCGGTCAGCACGAGAGCGGCCGAGCGCGCGCGCGCTCGCTCTCGAGCGCGTTACGCGTACGTTAATTTTCTCCGTGAACGTAAGAGTTTTTTTTTCGCGACCACTAATTCTGCTACGTAGGATCTGATTAATCGCTCCGCAGATAAAGAAATGCGCAATTACTGAGCAAAATTGCGCATGGCCGCAACTTAATTGCCGCATTGAATGCGTAAGACGAGATATTAGGACGGTATATGCAAGTAATAATGAGTTTCGTTTTTTTAGTATATGTGCGAGCTTGTCTGAGATATATATAATTATATCAGAAATACATATATCAGAAATTGTAAATGATACATTTTTAACTCTAACATTGCAATTAATTACTCATTACATTTCGAATAAATCGCGTTTTGAATTCTTGGAATTAATATGCATATTTTAATTTAAACGCAAATTTGAACTTCCATCTATATTATTACTCGAGTATTTCTCTTATGAGAATTTCTTTTTTTATATATTCTTTGTCCACCCTCTGCGCGTTTCGTGTTCGCTCTTATTGGCATCGGACCTGCGCAGCTCCAGCATCGTAATGACGTTTCCGTGTTTTTTCATGTTGCAGGTGCAGCACGGGGACAGAAAAAAGTAAAGAACGAGAACCTTGAACCAATCGTAAATGGCACAGAGTGAAAGCGATCGGTCACCACGTTTTTCCCAGAAGAGCGCGAGCCACAAAATTATCGGCTTGTAAATCGAACCGAAGGATCTCGTTCCTTTTGCGGCAAATAAGCGGTCGTCCGGTAATCCAGTAGCGAATCGAGCTCACGAAACGTCGAAAGTGAGGAACGCAATCCCCAATTATCAAACCATTCGACTAGACAAGTATCTGTGCTAAACACGTTCATCGTTTAGGATCAAAATTGCATTTTCTTTCAAGATAATATTTCGTCGAATTTGTGCTACTCAATGAAAAATTGTTGACTTGATTTTTGCGATCTATAAGAAGTTATTAAATATTTTTGCTAAATAAAGTTATATAGTTTGTATTTGATTTTCGCACTGAAGAGGACTCAAATCCTGCAGAGTAGAACCTTGAAACGTTTACTTTTATTTTAACTTTGTTTGGTAAGTACATCCCATTTAATTGTAAATTATCGTATTACAAATACAATTTGCGCACTAATATCCTCGGAGGCTCACATGGCATTTTACTTGTATTAAATAAATAGTATTAAATAAAATATACACGCTATCACACCTTGAAGTACGTGTAAGTTCGTTTGTAACATTTTATGCAAACAAAATTTTATTTTATCACGACTTACTGGATAAAGGCGAGTAGACATTGCATTCATATGAGATATTTTGAAAAGAGATTGTAGACGATACGTCACACCTCCGTTTCAGAGACGAGACGAGATAGTACGGCGACACTTCGCGGACAATACTCCGTGACTCGCACGATTATACGCGAGCACAGCTTAATCACCGTAATAGAGCGGCCATAATGGCTGATACGATCTGTATTTGCTCGTTAGATTCGAGCTATGCTCTTCCACGCGTGCGAAAGAGCGCTATCCGTCTCGCCTACGCGTATACAAATGGCAATTACACTGGGGAGTAATCTTGCGTATAAATTTCTGCGTAATGATATACCATGACAATGATGTGACATGAATTAAACGTTACAATTAATGCAGGTATATATTTGCACTTTTCAAGTTTATCTTCGACTTTTTTTGACCTCTCTATGTACACTATGATACACACATTTATCTGATAGATATAATTTTCTTCATAAATCCATCACAATAAAAACTTTTCCGTCATTCAATTAAGAGAAATGACTGTAATTTATTACAATAAAAATTTCCATCATTTAATTAAGAGAAATAACTATAATTTATTACAACAAAGATTTATCCGTTATTTAATTAAAAGAAATGATTATTCGGTATTTTTTTAAATGTTTGTTAAGGAAAAAATAAAATTGGAGCTAATGCTTGCTTCTTGTACTTTCGATTACATTCTGAGACAATAACTAATCTCTCTTTGATAAATCGGGAAGTAGGATAAAGCACGATACGTTACATCAGACGAATTACGTAACCGCTGCGTAAAGCCGAAGGCGTAAATGGCGTAGGATTTGATTCTGAGGCGTCTGAATTCCGCGAGCACGTCGTCGTTGTCTAATTGAGTCATCGTGTCATTAATCCTGTAATAATCCAGCGTCGCAAATAATTCTCCTGGCCCCCGATAGTGGTGGATCAAAGTCGCCGGACGGACAACGCAGGAGGATCATACGTAGATCGATGTCCAATTAGGTCCAATTACACGCATGAATAATCGGTTACGGTCGGTGAAAGAAGGTTTATCCCTCGAAGCAAAGCAGTACATCTACGGGCGACAGGTTTTGCAAGATTGCTTGCATCGATGAGACAAAGAGGGGACAATCCTCCGATGAAAGGAGGCGTCAGTTCGAAGGCTCTTGTGAAATCTACAGCCATGTTTCGTCCGTAAAATAATTAGTAGCTAAATGGTCAATGTAGGCGTATAAATTGGAGAAATGTGTGCTAAATTATATGGAAATTAAAATTCCTCTTCGAGGTAATTTTATGGATTATAAATTAAAGTAAAAAAATTACAAAAAATTTGAGAGGCAAATGTTATCAGAAGTAAAACATATGTTATTTGAGATTAAAAAGTAATTTCCATTAATATTTAATATAAATTATTATCTGCGTACACATAAATTTCTATATAGACATTTTTATACATATTTTTGTCAAATATTATATTTATGTTATTTTCTTTAAAGTTATTTTTCGCTTCGAATTGAACGGATCCTATATACAATAAACTGTAACGACTGCATCTGTCTTAACAAAGTTCTCTCTCGTTGGAATTCAAGCGATCGCAGACTTCGCAGATCACGAGCGGTCGGAACATCGCGTGCTTCCGAAATATTCCGGGAATATGCTAATTACCAGTTAGTCAGTTTCTTGTGGCACTGCGACTGTTTCTACAACCGGCGATGCCCTCTTTAGCCGCAGTTCGTTCTCGTTCCTTTGGTCTCGTCATAGCTTCCCGCGATATTGTCCACCGCAATACCTGCCGGTTGCGCTTCGTTAAACATGCGATGGATCGCTCCTCCGTCGTTACCTCTGACTTTTGTTCTGTGGCGACATTGTTTATCGAACGAGTAGTCGCGTTCGTGTCTTACTGGCCAGATACTTGCGAGCGAGTGACAGTGCTGATTGTTTTAATATTAAGACTACATTCCACAAAAAGTTCTGTGATGTTTTAAATGTACAGTTTTTAAGACTATCGATTACATCGTTTAGATATCTAATCCTTTTTTTTACTTCATTCAAAAGATCTTTATTTAATATAATACATAAACTTTTCACCTTAAATATTTAATTAATTTGGCTCTTTAATTTATCTTCTTTGAAAACTATAATACTCAATAATAGAATTATACTGTTTACGAAATCTGCGAATAAAAATTTTTCCACAAACATTAATATTGCAAAAAAATATTTAACATGAAAAATAATCTAATTTGTACATACGGATCCATCCATACACTTCTTTATTCAGTCTTCACATTTTCGCGTGTCACGCAAACGCGGTAAATTCTATCGTCGGTGAAGAGAGAGAAGTGAATAAATCTGAAACTGAATAAATGAAACTTTTCAGAAACATGAATTTTAGCCACGCGTAAGCAAAGGCCACGAGTGGGATATCGCGTGTAAATGCAAGCGTATTCAATTAATGCAGAACGGATGTTGTAGAATGGCGATACAGCGCAAGGAACGCGCTCCTCATTCTCAAAACAGGAGAGCGGCCGTGTACGCTGTAGAGTTAATTAATGGGAGTGAAGAGAGAATGTGCACGGTCGCTGTACATACAACAAAGGAACAAGACACGCCGTTGGCAAAGTGTCGAGGACTCTTAGGAACTATGGCGACCGTTTGCAGTACCTACGACGAGCGAATTCGATGACTAATGATCTTGCACTATATATCGTGCTGTAACAGATCCACATTTCGAATCACATTAGCGGCGTAGAATCGTTACGAATACGCGCTTCATGGTGTACAAGTAGCCTTCACAATATCCGGAAACCGGGGCAGCTCTATTCGCTGAAGGGTTATACGATCAGCTAGCTGAAGTTCCATCGCCATGGAGTTCCAGGTACAGCAGTATGTTGTTTTATGGCGCAATCATCGGCGCAGTAATAATCATTAAATTGGACGAAGCCGAGCGGAGCTGCGGATCGTGGCGAGGCTCGTTTCCTCGGACTATCCCGTCGTTAGTGTGACATTATCCGTCAAATTTGTCCTGCGGTTGTTTACTTGTTTTTCGTGTTAAAAATTCGTCGACGTCATCTTTAGATAAAAAACAATGATAAACGCGAATTGTTCTTGCTATTATAAATTAGAACTATACGAAAATCTGATATTGTAAAGAAAATAGCAATAACAAGAAAAATTGATTTAAAATCCAATTTATGTTTGCAAAATTTGTATATATTCTGTATGTGTATAATAAAAATGTAGTTGCCATCAATTTCTTTAATTTTCCCTTCATGGTAATTTCTATAAAATCCCCTGTAAAATAAATTTCTTTTAAGTTAATTAAATTACTATCTACCTGATTTATAAAAGCTTACAAATTAATCACAGAATAATTAGTCGTTTATTAAATGTCAGAGTTTGACGTATAGATTTTTCTCGTCTTTCGATGATAAAAAGAAATAAGATTGGAAAAAAAGCTGGCGAGGCAAGGAAAGCGAGAAGACCGGTCCAAAAAGTTCGTGATCCGCAACGAAGACGACGCGGCGGTTAATTAGTCGGTTATGGTGGGCATAATTGCGGTTTACTGTCTCAATAAATATATACGACACGCACCGCTCTCAGATCAAGGTGAGCAGTAAGGCCTTCCAAGGATTTGAAATCAAGCGGGGCGTAAGTATACGCTCAGCGGGAGTGTTTTATGGTCGTTGCTTGATATGGTTTATAGTGTTTTGTTCTGCTTATACCGGCTTGCCGCGGAACCGGAAAATTCCTAATGATTGGCTGTGAATGATCCCCGAAAAGGAGAGCTTAGATATAACGTAGTATCAATAATCAAATCTCATTATCTGGTTCTGTAATTCGAAAAATGCCTCTGTTGAAAAATATGGAAGGTGCACTATTGCGCTTTTTCTACCATAAATTAATCACAATGATTATCCGGTTGTGTTGTCAAGGTTAAGCCTCCGATAGCACAATGCCCGGCAATTAACTAAATGACCATCGTTCCAAATGTTCCAGTTTCCTAATCTATCGTGTACACATTCGATACGCGTACATACGCGTACAATATATCTTATCATCATACACAATTACGAGTTTGCCACTATCACTATAATTGCGACTGCAACATTGTGCTATTGTTAGGTATGACGTCGATACTAAAATCGATAACTGTACATAAACTATTTGGTGCAAATGAATACATACTTCACGAATAGTTTGGAAGACTTAAATCGATATTGTATGTATATATCACTTGTTTGCTGAAAAAAAGTGATACAACTAAAAATTAACATTTTTCAAATAATTATGGGATCATAATTCGTTCTTATTTTAAGATCATCTAATTGTAAGAAATGTCTTATATGATGCTATTACGGCTCTGTGATTAGCTTATAACATCTCTGTACTTAAAATGTTCTTTTAAAGAACCAACTATGAATATCGGCTAATGACAGGAAAACAGCTCTAAAGACTTTTCTTTAAAAAGTTCCTTAAAACATTGTTCCAATTTAGAATTTTTAAAAATGCTCTCCTGTCAAGTTGCTTTTGAGATGTAT